CTACAAAATACTTCAAGATGGATTTTCAGTTGGAACTAGTTTTTCTAAAATATACTACTTCTAAAATTTGAAGAGTCATTAAAAATGTGGGTTTTAGGACAATTCAGTACCTACACCACTTGCTTGAATCTTTGAAAATTTTTATAAACCTAATATTTTGATGCTCAAATAAGTAACTAATAACTTAAATCAGAATGTCAATAAAAACTAAATACCTTTTAAAAAAATTCAACTCACTGGAACCCCGTTCCTACCGTTTTCTCTATTAAGGTGCCAGATCTGAAAAATGCCTAAACACATCAAATTAAAAGCTCTTCTCTACAATACCGTAAAAAGAAAAAGGAGAAAGACAGAAAGGATACAATATAATGAGACGTGGAACATAGCTAACAATGAAGATAAGAAATACAAAATAACAATTACTACAGTAACTTACTACAATATTCATCAATTAAAAATAAAAATAGACAAAAAAAGTTACAATAGCTGAGAAAAAAACAAGAAAATTCAGAAAATATCAAACAATATACAAAAATAAAACGAAAACTTTGCGGCCTTGCTTCTGTTCTACGAACTGCCGGTGCTGCGAGCTGCTTATGCGATTTCTCGGAAGCGTCCATCAACATCGTCGGCGCTTTCGGTGCGTTTCCTCCCGTACTTCATTGTAAGTATGTTCTGTAATTTAAATGTGCCTCATTAGATGACGAAAAGAATTCATGCACAATGTAACTTTCCACTTATCCTTTCAAGGTTACAAAAATGATACTGTTAGTGTTTTGATAACAGTAGATACTGGAACAGTAAATTATATCATTTAATAATTACTTACCTGGAGGAAAGTAAATTTGCGATGTGTCCCGCCTGAGAGCGTTCAAGTAGTCCACTGTCTGTGCTCTTTTGCGTAGCACAGTTTTTTCAGCGCGTGGACAACGCTCACTTTGGTGCGCCTTCATCAAAATCTGAAATTTCATTTTGCAAAATTTTACTACAAAATTATTACAAGAAATATTATCAAATTTTTGAAAGTAATGAAGTAAATTCCAACCTTTGCCTCCCACATTGAACAGTCTGCCGGTAGCACAACGTGGCAGCGACATCGATGACAGTAGCCTGAAAAAGTGAATGGTTAGAAAATAATAGTCAGAAAATCAGCATACTAGTACCGATTTTTGATTTTTATTGCATATTTTCAATAAAACATATACTTACAACTATAATAACAAAAGTTAAAGAATTACCGTCAAGAGCGTGTGATGCCGTATGTGCCACGTGTTGCTTCCAGGCCGTTACCGTTGTAAAAGTGTCCTCAATTTGCATTAGCGGACACCGTGGGAGGTTGCAATCTGAAATTACGTTAGACGTGATAGAAAGAGTATAAACTCTAATTTGAAATTTCAAATTAGATGCTACAGTGCAAATGTAAAATAACTTACAGACTCTCCCATTGTGTACAATGTATGGGTGGGCCTCAGGCACTCGCAGCTCGTTTTCCAATCCAGGATAGTCCGTAAGATTCGGTGCCTCATACTCAATAAGACACCGATCTTTGACTCGTGGACTCCTGGAAGGAAGTGGGTCTACGTTCGACCCATAACTTCTCCTACAAC